ACTGCAATGAATTCATATGCACATCAGTTGTAGGTTCTCATGAATTACAACAACTTTACTTTATACTCTTTAACGACATGTAATTTGATGCATTATAACTGTGGTTACAATTATTTATGACAATAAAATAATACTTTATAGAGTTTTCCAGGGAAGTTACTCAAGAGTTAAGTATTTTTACTTTGTTATTGTATTTATTGTAAATTTCTCAAGTAGGCCTATCTATCTGTACTTTATCGTAGTAGACTATTTTTATATATTTAAAAAAAAAAGTTTACTTTTACTACATTCCAAAGCATGATATTGTACTTTTTACTCCACTACATTTCTTAAACATGTCGTTCTTCGTTATTTTGAACTGGAGAAATATATATATAAGTGCTGGGCAACGATAATTTTTTTTTAATCGCGATTAATCTCACGATTGTCTGCGATTAATCGCGATTAATCGCATTGTTATGCACAAAATTCAATAATGCATTCAAAAGTAGTGTATTGTGCACTTTTTTCAATTAAATGTACTGTTATATGAACAAAAGTGCAATAACATTTGGTTTGCAAACACTTTAAACAAATAAGGTGCTTTTTTACAGCAGTATTCCTTTTACATAGTAGCAGTTAAAATATTTCTTGTAAATCTCAACTTATAATATGAATGTAATCAAATTAAATATAAAACCAAAGCTATTTGCCACTGCCATGGTATTAACGTTTTTATAGAAAATATTTTATAGTTGGTTATAGAAAAACAAGTTATGCTCAGAGTCCAGAGCCTCGATCATAACATTATTACAGGCACCTTCCGAGTAGAGACCTGCATTATCGCGGGACCCACCGCAGCAGAGGCAGCAAAAGTCATAGATCTGTAAAGCAATATATTGTGAAGAGGGCCGTGTGTTACCGCGTCCCAAACGACTCAAACCACAAAGTTAACAAAATGATGCGCTCCACTGTGCTGAGCGAGTGCGCTTTTCTGCTATATATTCTTATATATATTCTTTTTTTTCAATTGTTTATGGTGTATCAGTAACATAAACTGATATTTTTATATATTTTATGTTTTAATAGTGTATGATAGGCCTCCCTCTCCAAGTAATTTGAGCAGTACACTCTTAAAAATAAAGGTGCTTCACGATGCCATAGAAGAACCTTTTTGTCTAAATGGTTCCATAAAGAACCTTTAACATCTGAAGAACCTTTCTGTTTCACAAAAGGTTCTTTGTGGCAAAATAAGGTTCTTCAGATTACAAAAAGGTAAGAAAGAGATGGTTCTTTAAAGAACCTTTGACTGAATGGTTCTTTGTGGAACCAAAAATGGTTCTTCTATGGCATCGCTTGAAGAACCTTTTGAAGCACCTTTATTTTTAAGAGTGTAGGATAAAAAAATATCTAAAAGTATATAAATTAAAATGACAAAATAAACATTTATCGATCAGTACTTTGTATTTTTACTCAAGTAAAATTGAAAAGGAGTACTAATACTAATACTAGAGTAATAATTTATTTTGACTCAAGTACTGGATTTGTGTACTCCGTCCACTACTGGAGTTACTTCTCCTGGTTTGTTTTGTGATATTAGCATGTGTCACATTGGTTTCTTACATGCAGGTGCCTTTGTCTTTGAGGCAGTCGAATCCATCTCTCAGACAGTCAGAAGATGAGCACTCCTGATCACATACTCCATTCCCAAACTTGGCCTTGCAGGCTTTTCCTACCCTACAGCTGCTGTATGGATCACTAGGGGAGGCTTTTTAGGGAAAGCAAAAGCAAGTATGATTATCATGTAATAGAAATGGGTAAAACACGTAGCAATGTCAAGTAGGTTTTTGAGCTGTTAAAAGGGCCCACATCTCTAAAGATTTTCAGCATCGTCCTGGTTGGAGGGGGCGGGGCCTTGACATGAATTCCAGGAGAAACAGGAAATGAGGGGCATGACACAAACAGGAAGTTTCCAGGATAGCTGAACAGCAAGAGGAAATAGGCTGGAATGGGAGTCGATGAAGGCTGAAGGGCATTACTGTAGCGATGAGGGATGTAATAGAGAGGGACAATAGCTTTGGCAGGTGTGTGAAGCAAAATCAAGCCATAATGGCTGAACAATAGAAGAGAACACTGTACAGCAAAACAAAATGTACAAATGGGTTTACTTTTACATTGTATATATTTGACATATTTTTACATATAACCTACAAGACTGTTTATGAATTTTAGTACTGCATGAATTGAGTTGAAGGAAATTTGACAAGACAATACCAGACAAAAACCTTCACTTCACATTCAATATCTTGTACATTTGTATTTTTCCTCTTAGCATTTTCTCCATTGAAAATGAGTATATACACAACTTTTCAAGAAGGTTGAGGTCAGTGATATTTTTTTTTAATGAAATTAAAACTTTTATTCAAGAAGGATGCATTAAACTGATCAAAAGTGACAGTAAACTATAATATCACAAAATATTTTTAAGTCTTTTTAACTTCCTATTCATTAAAGAATCAACTTTTTTTCTGTACAGCAAAATACAAAACATACAAAAAAACAACAACAACGTACAAATGGATTTACTTTTAAACTTTTACATACACATCATATATATTATAATATGTTTTTTTCATAAAAATACATTTATTTTGTGGGTCTGAGATATTTTTTACAAAAAACAATAACAATGCAAATTAAAATAGAATGTTTAATTAATATGTTTGTTAATGTTTAATTTAATAAATAAATATTTAATATCAAGTATCGAATAAAATATCTAATATCAAGATTCTAATAATTTGCCTTCAAATTCAAGCTATAAAAACAATCAGTGAATATTCTCTACTATTATAACACCAGCAATCATCTCATCATCATGCAATCATCTGTGTCCATCTATTCATTCATCCATCAGTTCTATCCACAGGAAACTGAATTGGACTCACCATGAGATGATCTGCAGAGAGTCCATAAGATGAAGGACAGTCTCACAGTCAGGTGCATGTCTGAACGCACAGATGGGTCTGGAGTTAGTCAAGTTCCTCTTGATAAAACACTACGACCCCCTTGTGTATGAACCACCAAGACCTGGCGTCTTCTCATTTGAGGCTGATCTTATGTCTTGAGGGAGTCTTGGATGGTTTCTTCAGATGGATGCAGCAGTATCAGTCCAGTAATACTGTGTGAACGTTCATTGTCTACACCCTCAACAGCTCCCTCCCCGAATTGGTCCCTCATTCTTTTTCAGAAGCACGGCGGATATCTGGACGACTTCCTGCCACGGTGTATTCAAGAATAGGAGCGAGTGTGTGTGTGTGTGTGTGTGAATCTGAAAGGTCGTTATTATCGCAGGAGTTTGACCTGTTTATGAATTATTTTACTGCACGAATTGTGTTGAAGGAAATTTGACAGGACAATTGAACAATACCACAGAAAAAACCTTCACTTCCTTGTGTTCAAACTAGACATAATATCTCATTTTTATATGTCTGCTAAAAGTCTTGTATATTTTTGTTGCTTTTTTAAGCAGTTTTTCCATTAAAGATGGATATTTACAGTACCATTCAAAAGGGTCAGTAAGATTTGTTTAATGAAATTAATACTTTTATTCAGCAAGGACACATCAAGTTGATCAAAATGGAAAATAAAGAAATTTTTAATGTTAAAAAAGATTTATATTTTATAAACGCTGTTCTTCTGAACTTACTACTTTTACAAAACTACTTTTTTTACAGCTGTTTTAAACATTGATAGTAGTAAGAAATGCTTCTAGAGCAGCAAATCAGCATATTAGAATGATTTCTGTTCTATTAGAACTTTTAAATATATTCAAATAGATTTTATTTTATTTTATTACTTTTTTGTAAATTCTTGAGTTATGCAAGCAAGACACAGAGGGACAAAGACGTATTTCTGTAATATTGCAATATTTATATATATAGCAGTGCCACAAACTGATCACCTCCATGCCACGCCGAATTGAGGCAGTAATTAAAGCAAAAGGAGCCCCTACCAAGTATTGAGTACATGTACAGTAAATGAACATACTTTCCAGAAGGCCAACAATTCACTAAAAATTATGAAGTATTCTAATTAGTTGAGATAGTGGATTGGTGGGTCTTTGTTAAATGTGAGCCAAAATCATCACAATTAAAAGAACCAAAGACTTAAACTACATCAGGCTGTGTGCATTGAATTTATTTAATACACGAGTTTCACAATTTGAGTTGAATTACTGAAATAAATGAACTTTTCCACGACATTCTAATTTATTGTGATGCACCTATATATATATATATATAAATGTGTGTGTGTGTATGCATATATATATATATATATAATTTTATTTTTTTGCAGGTCTTAGTTTGCCACAAAACTGACCAGGATGGTCTGATGGTGTGTTTAGATATTTTTAATCAGTGTAAAAATGTAGTGGACAAAGTAAATACTTGCACTTATTGTGGTCTCCTTAAAAATTCAGGGATACCAGTTCTAAAAGGCAAATTTACTGTGCATTATTTGTTATCTGCATCCAGCCTTTATGAGCAGAGAGGCAGGTTACAATACATACTTATGAATATTAATTAAGTTACACTGACGTTACTTGGTAACATTAGGCTCGTTCACGCAACGCGCTGCGCAACGTCTGTGAAGAGAACAGTGAAGACACTGGAGACGCGTTCATAAATGCTGAACTATTTTTAACTTAACGCTGCGTCTTAAAACGCGGCACTCTAGACGCAAGGGCCAGCGAGACGAGTCGCAGCGGTCAAAGACGCCTATTTAAAACATCGAAAGACGACGTAAGAACGCGTCCTGTGCGGCATTTTTACAGACGTTCAACGTTATTGTTTATATGTATAAGATAAGTCCTTTTTGATTGGCTAGTTGCCTACCAACGTCTGCCTGCCAACCAATGAGGTAGGACTACATCGCCACCGTCATGTTACGTAATTAATATTCATGAGTTATGCTCAAATGGGTTTCCTTGCAGTTCATACTTTCGGTTTCAGATTTGAACCTTGTGTGCAGGGCACACGAGCAACACTAGCATCCCTCTTGTTTATGTACTATTTTTAAGCTATAATGTATTAAATAAATGTGACGACGACATTGAAAACATTACATTCTTACATTTTAAAGCAGACTTTCAGTAGTATCTTCTAACAAGGTACGTATTGTTTGCTTCTTTCTTTTTTTCAATGGCATATTGTTGTCTACATGCAGTGCTGGAACATCTTTAAGCTTATTCAGTCCTGTACAGTCCCAAACAATTCACAACTCTTACTATTACTTTGATATAAAATGGACTGTTAAGTAAGCAAAAACTCATCGAACCTAATATTAAAATACATTTTTAGTGAAAGTGAAACTGATTTACTTAATCGAAACCACTAACAACAAAAAAAGTACCATTGTTTTACATGAACACTTTTTTTTTTACACTAATTGCAAAGTTCTGTGATTTCATTGAGATATTTGTTTGAAATGCTGTTTTCTCATTGGCAGTGCTGGAGATGAAGGATAAGATGGCCGTTCCTCTGTTCGCCCTGTTGGCAGTGTGTGTGGACGTGAGTGCCGTGATGTTCATTGGTGCCATCCAGCTCTCCCCGTCCTTCATCAACAACACCTTCATCCTGCCGTGGGCCGGTGGACTGCTCCGAACATGTCTCCTCCTCTTCGTCTCCTTCACCTACCCTGGCAGCCCAGCGTGGATGAGAGGATTCGAGGGGGTGCAGACAGCTGTAGTTCATGGTCTCGTCTATCCAGTGTATATCTCCTTCCTCTGGGCTTGTGACCGGCCTATAGTGGAGCTGGTGTGGGGTTGGCACACCTGTCAAGGGGTAAGATGGGTTTTAACAGGGGTGTACAGACACCTGGAAGAGTATTTTAAATGTCAGGTGAAGATACAGTGGCTTTTTATATGTGTGCATTAAAATCCGATTATATTTCAGCTCCTGCAGGGTTATGCGGTGCTGGCTTTGTCTCTGTTGCTGTGGAAACGACATGTTCCCACTCTCCTCCCGACGGCCAAAAAGGAGAAAACAGAGCAGAAGGCTTCGCTGCAAAGGCTGCTGGGATACATGAAGCCTTTCAGTGGACGTTTTGCAGCCGTCTTTTTCTTTGTGGTTATTTCTTCATTAGGTAAAAATATGTGTTGGGTCATACATATAAATGCACATTTTCTGTTTAATGTTATGAGCAGTGATTGCAGCCTGGAGTAATGATGCTGAAAATACATTTGATTTTTAAATATATTCAAGTAGGAAACATTGCTTTTTAATTGTAATAATATTTCAAAATATTACTGTAACAGTAAACAGCTGGCATTAAAAAATAAATGCATGAATGTTTTCTGCAGCGCTGTGTGTGAGTTTGTGTGTGACCTCATCTACAACATCACCATGAGCCGAATACACACGTCCATCCAAGGACTCGTCTTCCAGTCTGTGCTGAAGCAGGATATTGCGTTCTTCGATAAATCTTCCACAGGTGAAACTGCAAACATATTCCATTAGTGCTGTTCTTTTTTAACAGCGGTGTCTTTTATCAGATAACTGTTGCTGTCTTTGATTGTTTTAATGCATCCTGTCACTGTTACCGGTTTCCTGTTCAGGGGACATTGTATCTCGCATCACCACCGACACCAACACCATGAGTGAGTCTCTGAGTGAGAAGTTGAGTCTGCTCATGTGGTACTTCATGCGTGTCGTCTTCCTGTTGGGCTCCATGGTGCTGCTCTCCCGCACGCTGACCTTCTTCACCGTACTCGGCCTCCCCATCATCTGGATCATCCCAGAATTTTCTGGCCAGTTTTACCAGGTAAGATTGATATTAATCTTATATTAATATCATACATTAGATTGTAGGCTAATATCTTAAAAGGAGCATGTTGCATTGTATTTTTTCACATTTATAGTGCACTTGTAATGTTAGTTAAATCAAAATGTGGTTAATCGGGTTATATATATATATATATATATATATATATATATATATATTTATATATAAATTAATTATATAAATTAAAAAACATTTTCCCCTGGTTCCCTTTCGAGGGAACTTCGAACTGCGTCCTCTAGGGGTCGCTATGGCCTAGAGGATGCAGTGTCTCGTTCCCTACTCAGGGAACCATGGTTACATAAGTAACCTGAGACGTTCCCTTTCAGGGGAACTTCAAACTGCGTCCTCTAGGCCATAGCGACCACTAGAGGACGCAGTGTCTCGTTCCCTACTCAGGGAACCATGGTTACATAAGTAACCTGAGACGTTCCCTTTCAGGGGGACTTCAAACTGCGTCCTCTAGGCCATAGCGACCACTAGAGGACGCAGTGTCTCGTTCCCTACTCAGGGAACCATGGTTACATAAGTAACCTGAGACGTTTCTAGGCTTAAGCCTAGTCCCCGACTAAAGAGTAAGTCTGAGCTGTTTCAACTGAAAGAAACATGCACTGATTAATCTTGAAATATGTCAGTGCCTTTGTTTTGTCTCAAGATACACACCAGTAATGTTTTTTTCTAAGGCATGTTTATAAAAATTACTTTAAAATCCTAATTGAACTATGGCCTAGTCCTGGTTTAAGCTAAGCCCCGTCTGTGAAACCGGGCCATTAACTAATAAGTATCACCATATTTCCTCAGTTGATTAATCACAGTATAAGACAATTGTTTTGTATTACAAGTTTTCTGAAATGTTATGTTTAGATGTGCAAGATGTGTTTTCTTTCCACTAGTCTGAAAGAAGACATATTATGGAAGAAAATCAGCCCAGAATCTCAAAATTGACCAGTACATGAAAAAACAGTGGTTTTGTTTGTAGTGGCTTTCCTTAAGACATCTGTGGAAATAAAGCATGCTCAAAAAGTCAGCACAGAGAATATGCATTAAAATGATTTTATGTTTGGTATGCTGAAGTTTCCAGTGACACCTTCCATCCAAGATGCTGGTGGTTTTCTTTAGCTCATCAAGTCCATCGAGAGCATTTGTGTTGATGTGTGATAATGTTTTTTCCCCACAGAAACTTTCTAAACAAGTGCAAGAATCTCTCGCCAAGGCCAATGATGTTGCCACGGAAACCTTCTCTTCCATGAAGACAGTGAGGAGCTTTGCAAATGAGGACGGAGAGACAGAGAGGTACAGGAAGTGCTTAGAGGACACGTATGCCCTGAACAAAGTGGAAGCCGCTGCTTACGCTGCCTCAACTTGGACCAATAGTGTACGTGATTTTGGTATACTGTTGACCTTTGATTTGGCCCACCATGCCATATCACAATAGGAGGGGCAAATCTTCATTTATTATTTATATATATACTATTGTATTTGTATACATTCATTTATTATCTAATGCATCTTGAAGTTTGAAATCAAATGTGCATTTTTCAGATGTCGAGTCTGGCTTTGAAAGTCAGTATACTGTACTATGGAGGGCGGCTTGTGACAGGAAGTGATGTCAGTAGTGGTGATCTGGTGTCCTTTGTGCTATATGAGCTTCAGTTCACATCAGCTGTGGAGGTAAGACTTCAGATTCTGTCTGTTTGAGCGCAGACATCATGCTAAAACAAGCATCACTATTTAAACACTAACACTTAAACTTTAGGAATGCCCTGCAACCACTCACAACACACTAGAATTTCTGTGGCGAATTTTGCATGGGAAAACACCACTTTTAGTTTGCTTTTGTGGCTTTAAACCAATGCCTCTTCTATCGCAGGTACTGATGTCATACTGGCCGGATGTAAAGAAGGCAGTCGGTGCTTCAGAGAAAATCTTTGAATATGTGGACCGAAAGCCTGATATTCCTCCAAATGGATCCCTCGCTCCTCAAACTCTGAAAGGACATGTGCAGTTCAAAAAGATCACCTTTGCTTATCCAAAGCGACCGGACACAGATGTGCTGAAGGTATTGAAAAAGCTCAGTAAAGTATGATATTAATAAGATTAATCAGTAAAGATGTCCTATTATATTTCACAAAATCAAAAGAAAGAAATCATGTTTTGCCCAAAGAAAATTAAGTCTGTTTAGCATTATGCAGTCCCTCCAGGATTTTGCGATTCTGCGATCGCTGAATTTATCGCAAAATCAAGCAAACTCCACAAAAGCTCGCAAATTTTCATTTGGGCTGCGCAGCGCAGACCGTTTATCTGCTGGGGCTGATCTCGATCATGCGACACAGCGCTGGGAGATACAGTGAAGAAAGCAGTCCAATTCGCCGCAGAATCAATAACATCTCTGTGAAATCTTGTGAGAAGCATTCAAATTCGGCGCAGAATTCTGTTAAAGCTACAGATACCAGAACAAACGCCACTGATGTGGAAACCAGGAAAAACATTGTTCAATAAACACAAATCACCACCCTTCACCATGGATTTAGCGTAGTAAAACTACGGGAACAACTTGTGGCTGAAATAGTCTAATGTTTTCGAGTGTTTTTAAACACAACTTTTCCCAGTGCTTCAAAGCTTTAAGTATTACCGAATTTGAAAGTTATTTTAAATGTGATGACATTATTTGTTCATCCTTCATAGGTTGCCCCCATTTATAAAACTAAAAGTTTCATAATGTAGGAAAGCAAACACTTATTTAAAAATAAAAAAATACATTAAATTACCACTGGTAGATGGCTGCAGAAAAGTACTTATAGGCTTATTAGCCATTTCCACTCCCTGAGATATATTTTTTGTATTTATTAAATTATGTTTAGACATTATGAATGACAGTCATACAAGTTAATTTTATCTGCGTCTCAACTACCCAGACAGCACAAGTACATCTGTAAGACGTCTGCTAAAGATCTGGGAAACGTCTGCTGTGTAATCTGATAAACATCTTAGAGACGTATTGCATCTTGCATATGTAAATGCAGAAATCAAATAGACATTTCTGAGATTGGGGTGAGTGCTTTACTCTCAGGTTCTGGTGGCACCTTCTGTAGAACTTAATGGCACTAACCTCAAATGTTAGTCTGGAGCCCTACAATGGTTCTCGAAGTCAGAAAAGTCATAACAATGTTAGAAGAATGTTGTCTGTGGTATATTTTCACTGCAAAACAATAAGAAATGCTGCAAATATCACCGCACATTTTGAGAAAAGCCGCAGCAAAATCAGTCATTTTAGGCCGCAAAAATCAGAAAAAAGTCCTGCGAAATCCTGGAGGGACTGATTATGACAGTGAAAGACATTTTAATATTTTCATTACTTTAATGCAATTAAAATTCTCATTCTCTGTACTGTAAAAAAATTCTCATTCTCTGTACTGTAATGGCAAACAAAGATTGTCAAATATTTATACAGTTATAAATATTATACATTTTATATTTAAATAATTTGTTGCTGGCCTTTCTAGAACGTTTCTCTTGAGCTGAAGCCGGGCCAGATCACGGCTCTGGTGGGTCCATCAGGTTCTGGAAAAAGCACTATTGTGAGTTTGCTGGAGAGATTTTATCAGCCTCAAAGTGGGAAGATTTTACTGGACCAGACGCCACTGCTGGAGTACAAGGACCAATATCTACATGAGAAGGTAATCCTATTCTTTTCTATATACACTCAAGAAAAAAGAGAAAAAAGGTACAAAAGCTGGCATTGGGGTGGTACGCTTTTGTACCTTATTTATGCCTAAAGGGTGCATAATAGTACCTTAAAGGTACATATTAGTACCTACCTAAGTGACAGCTTTTGTACCTTTTTTTTCTCGGAGAGTGTACTAATAGCTGCATCTAAATAAATAAAAGTGACTTTCTTTGTTTGAATTCTTTGTTTGCCGACCTTGTTTAATCTCCACCCTCTTCAGATTAGTGTGGTGTCACAGGAGCCAGTTCTGTTTGCTCGGTCAGTGCAGGAAAACATCAAATATGGCAAAGAAAATGCCTCGGATGAAGAAATGAGCGCTGCTGCCAAGCTGGCCAATGCAGATGACTTTATTTTGAATTTGCCTAAAGGATATGACACGGGTGAGTCTTAAAGGAATAGTTCACTCAAAAATGAACATTTGCGGAAAATTGACTTACCCAAAGACATCCAAGATGAGTTTTTCATTGGAGTATTGTAATGTTTTTATCAGCTGTTTGGACTCTCATTCTGACGGCACCCATTCACTGCAGAGGATCCATTGCTGAGCATTTAAAGTTGGTTGAGAAAGTAACACGTTGTTTTGTTATTCTCAGATGCTGGAGAGAAGGGCGGTCAGGTCTCCGGAGGTCAGAAGCAGCGTATCGCCATCGCCAGAGCTCTGATTCAGAAACCCCAGATTCTAGTGCTTGATGATGCTACCAGCTCACTGGACACCGAGAGTGAACACAGGGTAAGATGCACACCTACTGATGCCGTATACACCACGAAAACAACCACCTGATTGAAACCATTTGGAAAAGCCCATACATGTACATTAGGGTTGAGTGATGTGTTGAATATTCACAGTATGTTTGCAATAATTTTACATTAAGCAGCATTGTGAATATCACTTTCATCACAACCTTCTTTGAAATTTGGCCATTAAGTTTGCTAAAGAGAATATAATTTCCAGTAGTAAGAAGTTCAGTTTTGTGAATCATTTCGAGCTGCCTTAATGAATCGATTCAAAACTCTGTTTAATGAGTAATTTGCATCACATTAAATGCATTTAAATATATGTTAAATATATGTTAAACATTTTAAATCTAGGCCATTTAAGAGCAAATACATAAATATATATTTATACCGAATATCAGCTAAGTTTGAAAAATATTGAAATACTGAATCAATCTGTTTAATGATTAATTTGCATCATATTTAGTTTTAGTAAAACATTGGTGGGTAAATATATTTTTTATTCTTCTATGTTTTTTTTATTATAGTTTTAGTTAATACTGTTACGCAATTTTAAATCTATTTTGTTAAGGTACATTTATACCAAATATCACCTAAGTTTGAAAAATATGACACTGAATCTATTATAATTTTTTTTTTTTTAAGTTTTAGATCTTACAGTTGCACAATTTTAAATCTGTTTTGCTAAAATGGCTGCTTGGTTGAAGGAATGAAAATTTTTTTTTTTTTAAGTATATAAGAGCAAATTAATAATTAGGTATTTATACCAAACATCAGCTAAGTTTGAAAAATATGACACTGAATCTATTCAAAACTGTTTAATGATTAATTTTCTTCATATAAAATATTAGTAAAATATATGTTGGTATATATATATATATATATATATATATATGTTTGTTTGTTTTTTTTTGTTTTAGATCTTACTTGCTTGGTTGAAGTAATGAAAAAAACAACATTTTAAAGCATGTAAGAGCAAATGAGTAATTATGTATTCATACCAAACATCACCTAAGTTTGAAAAATATCGAGATGCTTTGTGTAGTGGCTCCTTGTTTGTGATTTTTCCCTGATCTTGGGTTCTCGTCCACTTCTTCTCAGGTGTACAGCGCTCTGCGGAAGGAGCTGAAGAACTGTACGGTGCTGCTCATCACTCACAGACTGAGCGGCGTGGAAAACGCAGATCACATCATCTTCCTCCGAGAAGGGGAAGTGGCTGAGGAGGGGAACCATGAACAACTGCTAGCCAAACATGGATTTTATGAAGAGTTTGTGAATCAACAGAATACTTCAATCCATCGCAACACAGGAGACGTTACAAACTCCAGCCAATGATTTAGAGCAGCTGCTCTACAATTAATCTGTGCTTTCATGTAATACCAGCACAAATCTATGGAAGCCAGCACAAATATTTATGAAAAAAAAAAAAAAAAGGAAATTTTTATCTCACAATTTTGACTTTTTTTCCCAGAATTTTGAGATATAAACTCGCAATTATTTTTATCTCACAATTCTGACTTTTTTTCACAGAATTATGAGATATAAACTCGCAATTGCGAGTTATAAAGTCAGAATTGCGAGATATAAAGTCACAATTGTGAGTTAAAGTCCAATTTTGAGGGGGGAAAAAAGACTGATATGTTCTCAGAATTGCAAGTTTATATCTCACAATCTGACTTTTTTTCTCAGAATTGTGAGTTTATATCTCGCAGTTCTGACTTTATTTCTCAGAAATGCGACTTTATGTCTCGTAATTGCGAGTTTATATCACGCAATTCTGAGAAAAAAAGTCAGAATTGCGAGATAAAAAGATAAAAAATTACCTCTTTTATTTTTTATTCAGTGGCGGAAACGGGCTTCCATACAAATCAGATGACAAATCTTTGCATTTGTTTTCTCTATTAGCACATATTTCTCAGCTGTTCAAATACTACTAGTGTTTTTAAATTAGGTGTAAATATCACAAAAATGCGAGCAAAAAGATATGGGTGAATCTCAGTCAAATATGTCCAGGTTTCCTACTACATCAAAAGAAATGTATTTTATTGAAATGATTTTTTCCATATATCATTTTTAACCTAATTTTAGGGAATCTATTTAATTTTTCACATTGTGATTTATCTTTTTTCCTAAACTCACATTATTATAATGTGATTTACTTTTGAGCTTTGCCATTCTCATTGGTGATTCTCTTCTCATTACGTACACAGAATGAACCCCATATAATACAGTGCCTGCACACATATTATTTTTCATAGTGTTTACCAGAGTATCTATTAGACATGTATTATATTTCCCATGTATTGTGTAATACATAGCATTCACTTGCACAGGTGTATTTTTAGTTGCACTTAACAAATTTGTAAAATGTTTAAAATTGATTAGAAATAAAATTAAAATTAGGATTATTTTCTTTAAACAGTTCTTTCTTTTATTTTCCATGGACATGTTTCCTGAGACTCACCCATATACAGTTAGTCAGGGCTTAGTAAATCAATCGTAATACACTTTCCCAGCAAAGTACCTCAACCGTGTCTTTATTTGTTGTGGTATTTATGTTTTTATGGTTGATATGTTCAGGTTGTAAATACAAGTAGTGCTTTGTAACTTTCATTAGTATGGCATTTTAAAACATTATTGCTTACAGTTGTTGATTATGGACATGTAATGTGTTTGCCCAATAATGTTTGATAATGATCTATTAATGAAAATAATAATAAAGTGCTACCAATTATTATTATTATTATTTCGTTTTTTTTTGTATTCATAATTGTTGACATTTTAGCTTTTCATACTCGTATAAGACATTTTGGGACAATTGATCATTGAAAAAAATCCTGTAGTACTATACTTAACGTAACACATACTTATTTAGACTAGCATTGTAGCACACACCCATACAAAATAAAAGATTAATAGGTGAATCAGAAACAGTATTTTACAAAAAAAAAAAACATTGTATTATTTAAAAGTTTAAAAGATTGAAAAAGCTTTCCAGATCATAAGGAAATTAAGGGTTACGAGAAAAAAATATTTGCTTATGAATATGAATTATTTTTATATCGTTCAAAATATAATAAAGTAATTTAACAATGCGTGCAGTCAGTGTAGAAGCTTAATTAACATGCTAAATAAATAACAAAAATTTTATTAAAACAGTATTATTGTTAATTATTAAAACAGTTAAGATTCCTTTAGTCTCTTTATCATCCTCACTAGTCACTCATTACTACGCTGTACATGGGCGGTTCTAGCGCTGCGGAAGGACTTGACACTAAGCCAATAAGAAACCAGTTTCAGAGGCGGGACGAATTCTGATTGGTCAGTGGCGTTCTTATATAAAAACCCTGGAGCGGAAATTGAAAGGCGCCATTTGCTCGTTGGACGGCGCGGGGTAGGTTACTCTTAAGCAGTTGAATAACAATAAAACGGGGGCGAAAACGCAGGATTCCGCACCGCAAAACTACCCCGATCCATCCGAATGGAGGCGGCCATCAACCCGTCTCTTGACAGGTAGTATCGGCGTGCCCTCGGAGCCTATTAACTAATCCTGTGTGTGTATTTAATCACAAAGAATAAGTAAAAGGGAAGGAAGCGTTTGTTTACAAGTTCATTTTCCTCCTTCAATGGCAATGTAACTCATATTAAAACGGCTTTGCGTCTTTTAAATTGAGTTCCAGCTATTAAAATAACAGCATGCAGCGAGCATCACTGTGGTGTGGGTCTACTGCATCTTTTCCCTCCGCCATCTTCAGCATTTAAAGGGCTACACTGTAATAACACACATACTCACCATGGTAACCACAGTTCCTGTCGAAATACAATAGTTAATTTGGTTATTGATACAAACAGGCATGCAGCTAGGTTAACTTGGTATTTACACTGTTGCAATGTCATCTCCTATTAATCATGGCATTATAGTGAACTGTTTACATTGTGGTACGGCATGCTAGTGTGCCATATAACTTCTGCATCTCAGTGTTTTGCATGGCTTGCATCTGTCTGATTGTGTTTGCGCGTGCAGCTCATTTGCACAAGTGCAGTGTGAATGAGCGATCTGAAGTGAATGGCTCGTGTGTGAGCTGTGGTTGGTATTAAGTGTGTGTACAGGGGTAGGGAGGGGTGGATGATTCATGTGGCTGCTGTCCTGTGCTGATTGGGCATGAATGCACTGAACGCTTGTTTACAAACAGAATAGGCGAGACAGACTGAATGACATTTACTGAAGAGTCTCTTATAGTATGTTTTGCTATGCACTGATGATTTTGTCTTGCTGCTAATGCATAGTGTTCATGCACAGATGAATTGTCTATTGAATTAACGAGGCAGTAATAATTTATCCAGTGCATGTGTATTTATGCCTTGTAAACAATTTGTTGAAATGAATTGTGATTTTGGAAGAATAAGAATAGAATGAACAAATCAGTAGTATTCGAAATTGAATGCTATTGTTTTCCACTTTTTTTAACAAACATAAAAATCTAAATAAATTTTTGTATTTTTTAATTATTTTTTTGTATCCGTGTGTGCATATGTAATCAAAGGTTTGGAGTCAGTATTTTTTTTTAATTTTTTTTATATAAATTAATTTTTGTGCTCAGCAAGTAAATTCACACATTCAATTAAATAGTAAATAGGTTTTTAAAGATAACCCCCAAATTCAGTGAATAAATCGCATAACTTTTAAAATATATTAAAATAGAAAACAGTTTTCAAATTTTAATATATCAAAATATTACCTTTTACTGTATTTTTGATCAATTAAATGCAGTTTAATGTTGACATGTAAAATTAAAAGAATAAAATAAAAAACTTTATATATAAATAGTTGACACAATATCTAAGCCTACTCACCATTCCCTAATATAAATATATATTTCTTATTTTAACGTAAAATGTGTATTATCTATTAATAAGGCAGTAGATAGCTTTTGAAACTGACATGAGGGAAGTTTAACACTACTTGGTTATGCCATTTAAAATGACCAAATATTTGGTTATTAATCGAATTAGCTGATATGTCTGTCTGGTTGTGGCTAATGTATGTTTTATATATTTAATGTAATATTATGTGGCTTGTTCAGGCTACAGTATGACTAAACAATGCAATGTTCAATATGCAATAATATTTATTATATATTGCATTATTAATTTTTTTTCTTATCCTCCAAACTTAGCATTACATGGTGCATGTCTTGTGTTTTGTTGATGATTTTCTGCAGCAGCTCTGTGGGAGTAGGGCTGTCTGTCATGGGTGGGATGGAGCAGAGTTCGGGCAAGCGTATTAGGAAACCCTCGCTGCTCTATGAGGGCTTTGAGAGTCCGTCTCTGCCCCACGTGCTTCCACCCGGACCCCCTCCGCCCCAGCAGCCCCCGGTTACAGACCCCAGCCGACAGGGACGCACCACCAATCAGCTGCAGTTCCTCCACAAGGTCTTGGTGAAAGCATTGTGGCGGCATCATTTCGCATGGCCTTTCCATGAACCTGTGGATGCGGTCCGACTCAACTTACCTGTGAGTGAACGCTTACTTTCGGAGAATAATTCGCCCTAAATTGTCATTCCGTGTCAAATCAACTACATTTCAAAATATTTTTTCTGAAGACAGACAAGCATAAATAGCAATGAAAGCCAAAATATTAGATGTCATGGATGCATATTTAAAGAGTAATCCACTATTATGACCATCATCATCTGAAATTTGGAGCCAAATTACAAATGACTTTAGAAAGATGGCAGCATCATTGTTATTTGTACATAGATTGGTAGGTCTGTTAGTAAAATCTGATGACTTTAGCAGTCTCCGTTGCATTATATGCCAATGGTGAAATGGGAAAAAACACTTCTTCTTTTCCAAAGTTTGCATGCCTGTAACTTAAGAAGTATTAAAGATATCTTAATGGCCATTTAGATGTAGGTTCTTAATAAACTTTTCTTTTGATATTTACATTTTTAAGGCTCTACATGGTTCAATTCCAGCGATATTGGGATCTCAATATGGCTCTGAGAGTAAATTGTTACATTCACAACTAACCAAACAACCTTCATGTCATTCCAAAACATGTGCTTTTCTTTTTTCTTTGCGTTGCATTGAGTCTGTCCAATCAGAAATCTTCGGCATGTTGTTGGTGTCTTGTGTCAGGGCAGGTCATATTACCAATAGTCTGACAGACTTTCCCATATTCATATGCACAAATGATATGATCTCCAATAGGGCTGTGCGGTATTGAAGAAAAATGCGATATGGGATAACTCATTAAATAATGCAATATTCGATATGCGATACAATAATGCTTAAAGTGCCACATGCTCAGATGAAACAGTTTTACTCAGCTGTTGCTGAGTCAGTTCTGTGAACTTCTATAACTATCTTGTGTCATATACTGTATATATGGTTATTTGTATGTATGTATCAAGAGTTCCTGTAAAACCACAACCATTAGGAGGCCATGATGGTCAGAGGCCAATGGGCAAATTTGGCCAGGATGCCGGGGTTATACCCCTACTCTTTTTCGAAGGACATCCTGGGATTTTTAATGACCACAGAGTGTCAGGACCTCGGTTTAACGTCTCATCCGAAGGACAGTGCTTTTTACAGTATAGTGTCCCCGTCACTATACTGGGGCGTTAGGACCCACGCAGACTGCAGGGTGAGCACCCTCTGCTGGCCTCACTAACACCTCTTCCAGCAGCAACCTAGTTTTCTCAGGAGGTCTCCCATCCAGGTACTGACCAGGCTCAGCCCTGCTTAGCTTCAGTGGGCAACCAGTCTTGGGCTACAGGGTGATATGGCTGCTACAAATGTACATTTGCGATATTTCAATAATTTCGATATATTGCACAGCCCTAATCTCCAATGATACTATTTCCTGTTTTGCTTTCAGGACTACCATAAGATCATCAAACAGCCGATGGACATGGGCTCAATCAAGAAACGACTGGAGAATGACTACTACCGTAGTGCCAGCGAGTGCTTGCAGGACTTCAATACCATGTTCACCAACTGTTACATCTACAATAAGGTGTGTTGCCATGGAAACATCCCGCAGTGCTCATTAGGCATTACCTAAAGGTTAGAGCAGAAACATAGTCATTTCATAAAATTGCTGTATTAAGCACTAAAATGAAATGTGAGAGATGGAGAACATACGTCATTTAGTACTTATTTGAAGTAGACATACTATGTTTAAACTGATGTCAAAAACATGTATGTATAATATACATCCAAGTACACTGATGTTCGAAAGTTTGGGGTTTTTAATTAGGCTTGCCGCGATAGACGGTGCTGACGGTGATACCGTTTTTAAGCCGCAACACCGGTTACGTCACTTGCCCACCGCGGGACCGACCCCCACCATCGTTTAGATTTTTTTGTAGTAATAAAAATCATTTAGTTCAGTAAAAGAACAGACACTACAATTAAAAACGGAACGCGGCTGCTCAATGCAGCGTGCCGAACGACAGTCGCATCACAGATCAGATTTCATTTCTCCAGTGAGGAGAGTGAGTCGAGCTGACTGACAAGAAGAGTGAGGTGAGACAGACAAGACGATGGCAGATGATTTAGTTTCGAAACTAAATGCAAAAGCGCATGTTTGGCAGTATTTTGGATTTTGAAAAGCCTGTTGACTTTTGCCGTTTATCTAAGGTGATTTTGGAAGTTTTTTTAAACATTCGTTTCTTATTTAATTGGTTCCACAGTGTTTGCTGATTTTTACTTTATTTAAACTTTGTGTAATTTATTTATTTTATTTGACAACAAAAAATGTATTTGCCGAATTGCCGTTAATTCGAAAGTGAAAGTAAAATGCGCACGACACTTTTAAGCTATTTAAAAGTGAAGGAAAGCGAGGAAAAGGGGGAAAATTCAAACGAACAATTGCTCTACGCTGAATTGCCGCTATTTGAAAGTGAAAGTAAAATGTGCACACCACTTTTGCAAGCTATTTAAAAGCGAAGGAAGGCGAGGAAACGCCCCCGCCACCACGGGTATACCGGTATTATCGGTGTTGTCACACGTCGGTTAACCGGTGGGAAAATGTCCTCACCGTCACAACCCTATTTTTAATAAGAAATTATTAATTTTATTTCTCAAGGATGCATTCAATTGATCAAAAGTGACAGTAGAAACATTTATAATGCTACAAAATATTACATAAATAATAAATGCTGTTCTTTTTAAGTTACTATTCACCATAGAATGATGAATGTGAAATGTGAAAATGTGAAAAATGTCATGGTTTCCACTAAAATATGAAACGGCACAGCTTTTCAACATTGATAATGATCAGAAATGTTTCTTGAGCAGCAAATCAGCATATCAGAATGATTTCTGAAGGATCATGTGACACTGAAGACTGGAGTAATGATGCTGAAAATTCAGCTTTGCATCACAGGAATAAATTACATTTGAAAATATATTCAAATAGAAAACACTCATTTTAAAGTGTAATAATATTTTACTGTATTTTGATCAAATAAATGCAGCCTTGGTGAGCATAAGATTTTCCAAAACATCCGAACCCAAACTTTTGAATGGTAGTGTACATTTACATATCAACATCGATCTATCAACTGATGCCGCTGTTAACATTTTCTACGGAAGTGTATAATGTGAATTGTTTTTCAGCCTACAGATGACATTGTGCTGATGGCACAGTCTCTGGAGAAGGTCTTCTTACAGAAGGTTGCCCAGATGCCCCAGGAAGAGATTGAGTTGGCCCCTCCTACCCCTAAAGGCAGAGGAGCAAAAACTATCAAAGGACGTCGAGGCAGAGGTAAGTTACACAGTCATATAGTCTGTAGTGTCAGATTTGTAGCTAATTGTGGCCAAGAACTGCCTGTTCAGACAGGAGGATTTCACCTGACTGACATGTAAAGCAATCAGTCAATCAACCAGTCTGTCACTTTTGCTAAATGTATGCTTTATTTCCATCAGGAGGAGGAAGTGTTACGTCAGCTCACCAGGTGCCTGCCGTGTCGCAATCAGCATACTCTCCTTCCTCACCCGACACACCAGATTCACGGTTTTCCACCCCACCTCAGACCCTGCTGAGCAACAGCGGCCCTCCTCCACCACTGATGACCGCACCACCCACCCAACCCACCGCAAAGGTTCATACACATAAGCTTCAGAGCACCACTCTGTGATGTTTTACATGTCTGTTACTGGACATCATCTTCATCCGGCTCATCTGGAGTTACTTGTTGATCCATTATGTTATGTTATGTTATTTACTTAATTACTTATTATTTTATGTTATATATTTTTACCATATACACACAACCCACTGTTCATAAAAAAAAAAAAAAAAAATGAAATTAATACTTTATCAAGAATGCATTAAATTGCTCAAAAGTAACAGTTAAGGCTTTTACATTCTTAAAAAGTGATGGTTTCAAATAAATGCTGTTCTTTTGAACTTTTTAATAACAAAATTTTATTTAAAAAATCTTATAAAAATGTATCATAGTTTCTACCGAAATATTAAAATAAACTTTATTAATCATAAACTGATTTCAACATTGATAATAAAAAAAAAAAAAACGTTTCTTGAGCACCAAATCAACATATTAATAAGCATATAAATGATTTCTGAAGGATCATGTGACACTGAAGACTGGAGTGATGATGCTGAAAATTCAGCTTCACATCACGGAAATAAATTACATTTTGAAACATATATAAATAGAAAACATTTATTTTAAATTGTAATAATATTTCACAATATTACTATTTTTACTGTATTTTCTATCAAATAAATGCAGCCTCTGTGACTTCCTTCAAAAACATAAAAAAAATTTACTTCAAATTTTCTACATTTTTGGGTGTTGTATATGTAATAATAATTATGTATTATTTATTTTTATTTATTTAATTACCTAGTAATTATAATAAATTGACTACTATTTTATACATTCATATGATCAGTATTTAGTGTACTTACAGACTATACTAAATACACCATATATTTAGTCCATGCTACTTGTGTGCTGTATTCCAAGTCTTCCGAAGCGTTTCGATGGAAATGTCTGAGGAGCAGACTAAAATTTTATTGATTATTAACTGAAAATGTTACTATCTGCCATTGCTTTTAAACATTTTTAGCTGCTGGTTGGTTCAGTTGTGTATGTAGTTATTACTAGCACTAAATGAGAGCCTTGTCTCTGTTCTTTCTTCAGAAGAAGGGTGTGAAGCGTAAAGCTGACACCACCACTCCCACTACACTCAGCTTCCCCGTGACCGCAGCTGCTCGGATGGGAGGCATGGGAAAAGGTCACGGATCGGCCGGAGAGATGCCCCACTCTCTGTCCTCCATGCCTGTGGATTGTTTACCCAGCATGGGCGTGAACGAGCCTACCCACCTCCAGCCCGTCCTAGGGCGACCACTGTCCCGTCGTCCAATTAAACCTCCACGTAAGGACCTGCCCGACTCAGTGCGCCCCCATCAGCCCTCGCGGCGGGGGAAACTAAGCAAGCAGCTTCGCTACTGCAGTGGCGTCCTTAAAGAACTGCTGTGCAAAAAACACGCGGCGTACGCCTGGCCCTTCTACAAACCCGTGGACGCGTCGACGCTGGGCCTGCAAGACTACCACGACATCATCAAACACCCCATGGACCTCAGCACCATCAAGGTGACTTGCATGAACTGCACATACACGCAGTACTGGTGCCGCCTTTGTGTTGTTTGGATGGCTGTGTATACATGCTTCCACTGCAGATTTTTAGCTCTGGAAAAGTTCTGGGTAGCATTAAAGCAATCTGAGTTGATGTAACACTCCGCCTGTGTTTTGTGTTCCTCAGAGGAAGATGGATGAGCGTGAGTACAGAGATGCCCAGCAGTTCAGTGCTGATGTCAGACTCATGTTCTCCAACTGCTATAAGTACAACCCACCTGATCATGATGTGGTCGCCATGGCACGAAAACTGCAGGTACATGAACTCAACTGCCTCTGCCGTTTTGTATAAAGATGCATCAATATAGAGATGCTTAATTCTGCTTGCAAAATTGTAATGATGCTAAAATAGGCTTCTGTTTTTGTGCAAAGTGTTGCTATGTAGTAATTGTTTGATTTGGCTGATAGCTAGAATGGTTTATATATTAATGTCATTTTTTGCTTCTATTATCAGCCTAGTCAAAGCGAGAGCCGTTAAAAATATTTAAAATACAATTTTAAATAATTTTAAATATTTCTTTAAAAAAAAATTTATTTAGGTAATATCATGTATTTTTGTTCTTATTATTTATTTTAATATTTGAAATATTCTTATTCAGCTTATTTTATTTGAAAATGAGGCCTGATAACTGAAAGTGATTCAGATTAATTAAAGTAAAATAAATTTTATATATATTTTTACAGATGTAATATTTTTAATATTCTTCCCTTTGTCTTTCCACAGGATGTTTTTGAGTTCCGCTTCGCAAAGATGCCTGACGAAGTTTCGGAGGAGGAGGAATTGTCTCCCATGCCATTAGGACGGACCATGGGCATGCTGGGAATGCACCACTCCTCCTCTTCATCATCCTCATCCTCCTCCTCTTCCTCCTCGTCGGAGAGCGAGCCGAGGAGCGACAGTGAGCCGAGCAGCGACAGCAGCCCGAGTTCTGACAGCGAGGAGGAGAGAGCTCAACGCCTGGCCCAGCTGCAGGACCAGGTGTGTACTCAGGTACACAAACCTTCCTGTTACGCTCTACTTCATACATGCACATTACACAGCATGAAATCAAAGTCCTCTTTTACTTTTCTCTCGTCTTACTGTGCATGGTTCATTCATACATCTTTATAATATCTTACATGTTAATCTAAAGGAAGAGTGTCATGACTGTGACTGTCATAACTCGATAGTATCTTTCATCTTTTAACATGTAGTATATGTCTGTGCTTTAGCTCAGAGCAGTACATGAGCAGCTGGCAGCCCTCTCCTCCGGCCCGATTGTCAAACCTAAAAGGAAACGAGAGAAAAAGAAGGACAAGAAGAAGAAAAAGAAGCCAGTGAAACGCAGAGGAAGTCGAAGTTTGATGAGTGATGAGCGGGAGAAACCTTCCAAACTGCCTAAAAGCAAATCCAGCCATGCTTCCCTGTCATCCACACAGAGCAAGAAAGGCCCTGCGTAAAAAAAAATTTATTTAGGGAATATCATGTATTTTTGTTCTTTTTATTTATTTTAATATTTGAAATATTCTTATTCAGCTTATTTTATTTGAAAATGAGGCCTGATAACTGAAAGTGATTCAGATTAATTATATTAAAGTAAAATAAATTATATATATATATATATATATACTTTAAAATATTTGTTTTACTTTAATATAATTAATCTAATTTCATATTTATTGTTATTATTATTACTCATTTCAATATTTCTTATTTATTTTAGTCATTAAATATAATTTGAAGTACTAATATATATACTGTATATATATATATATATATATATATATATATATATATATATATATATATATATATA